CCCCGCGCGTGGCGGCGGCCGGTGGTCCCGACGCGCGTCGCAGGGCGGGGGCTGGGCGACGGTCTTGTCGGGTCCCGACTCCATGGCCCTTTTGTTTCTTTTCCTTAAAAAAACACACAAAACAACACGAAAAAAACCCCCGCAAAACACACACGCGCGAAACTCGGACCCCTTTCCCACCAGCGCTAAGTGTCCGCCATCAGCAGGCAGCGGGGAGAAAAGAGGCCGGAATGAGCCAGCGTTTTGTAGACGAGGCCCCGTGGGCTTGAACTGGTTCTGCTTTTTTTTTTTTCTTATGTTTTTATTGATTTAGGGGAGAGGGGGAGAGAGAGAAACCTCGGTGATGAGCGTCGTGGATCCGCCGCCTCCCGCACGCCCCCTGCTGGTGATGGCGCCGCGCCCCTACCGGGGATCGAACCGCGACCTCCCGGATCTCAGGTCGATGCTCAACCGCTGAGCCACACCTGCCGGGCTGGCTGTGCTTTTTTTTTTTTTTAAGCAGATTTAAAAATATATCTTTATTGATTTCAGAGAGAGGAAAGGAGAGGGAGAGAGAGATAGAAACATCGATGAGAGAGAAACATCATCAATCCAGCTGCCTCCTGCACGCCCCCTACTGGGGATCGAGCCCACAACCCGGGCATGTGTCCCCACCGGGAATGGAACTGGTGACCTCTTGGTTCCTGAGTTGATGCTCTGCTGCTGAGCCACACTCGCCGGGCTTCACTGAAGCTTTTAATCAGTCAGTCCTTTCCCATCCATAGCAAATAAGTGAATTAATTTTAGGGTCCTTGACATGTTCCTGTTTTCAGTGTAGTCATGGTACTTGTCCTCCAGATTCTCTCGTTGTTCTCGTCCGAAAGTGATAGGTAGACTGATTTTTAGATTTAGGCATTGGCTGGCTGTGAAACACAGGTGCTGTACTTACCCATGACTGTGACAAAAAGATGCCTCATAGTTAGTTCTTGCCGAGGTGGAAAAGCAGGTTAGCTTGGGCATAGTTTTATTGTGTTTACAGGTTGAATTAGTTAACATTAAAGGCCTTTGCCGAGACTCTTATGCTTTATCTGCAGCTCTGTAGAGGTGATTTATCTAGTGACCTAGTTGTCAAGAAGCAGGAGACTGGAGGAAGGCAGCATTGGTGTGATAGTATTTTGAGAGAAAATTGGACCTAAGTTCCCCACAGCACATAGCAACATGGGGCCACTTAAGATATTATTAAATTATTTTATTCCTCCAAAGCCCCAGGACTCTAGTCTTGGTCCTAATACTAATTCTGGGATAAGGCTGAAAGGTTAATAGACGCCCAGAATAAGAAAACACTGCGATCTGGAAGCAAATGAATGTTTCGACATTTAGAGGTGTGAACTTCAGTCCTCTGTAGATTTGCTTAAGTGAGGAGCCGTAAGTGAGCCACTGTCATCCGCAGCCTCCATAGGGTGCTGAAAGACCTCTGAAACTTTGGCTTAGAGAGATGGGCCTGTCTCAGGACCTTGGGGAGACTGCCTGCCTCTCAGGGTTTGGTAAGAGGAAAGGAGGGTGTGTGTGTGCAAGTGCCCTGGGGCCCTGTAAAGTCTGATGCACTTTTCAGGCTTTCAGTTTGCTGATTGTCTTTTGAAACTATTCCCCAGAGGTTGAATGTTGATGGGTTGCTTATCTAACGCACCGCTGACCATCTCTGCAATTTTCAATTGCTTTCCAGATTTTTGTATTCAGATGAAGTTCAGATTGGCCCAGAAACAGTTATGACCACTCTTTATACTGCTAAGAAATACGCAGTCCCAGCCTTGGAAGCACACTGTGTGGAGTTCCTCACCAAGCATCTTAGGGCAGATAATGCCTTTATGCTACTTACTCAGGTAAGCCCATGTATGTGAGCTGTGTACCATTGTAGCTTGAAAATTGAGTGTAACTATATATGAATGTTTAATATTTCCTGGTGAATTAGTTCTAGATCATTATTTTAAAGTAAATGTAATTATTCTTATAGTACCATTCAGGGAAATATATCAGATTTATATGATTTTACAGTAGAAAAGCAGCTAGAGTTAATACAGTTTCATATAGGAAAAGACACTGAAGCCTTATAATGGGTAGGGTGCTGTTACTCAAAGTTCTGTAGCTATTTAGAGTTGGACTTGGGATTAGGGTCCAGTGTGGGTCAAGCTGTGATCGAGAGGCTGTAGCATGAAGTTTTTCAGACATCTTTTTTCTCAATTTTTGTTGGGTCCAAGGGGTTTCATTATGTATAGAGATGATCACTTAACTACTTTATTTTAAAAGTTGAGTCATAAAATTCAGAAACCAATAAACTAAACTTTGACAGTTGAAATAGGCTTGCTGGTTCAGTAGGTCAGAGGTGGGGCTGACAGTCTGTGTTTCTAACAGGCTTCCAGTGGTGCTCGTGTTTCTGGCCCACACTTTGAGTTGCAAGGGTTAACAGATCACTGGGGGACAAAAGAAGGAGCCTTCCAGTGCCTTGTTGGTCTGAGAGCCCAGTATTACTCCAAATTTTTATTGGTGGGGTCATGTGAATTACCCAGCAAACTGTCATGTGAACTCCTTGCTCCTGCCAAGTGAGTCATTTGAACTGGGCCTGTTCATTTACTGGAGAAGACCCAGCTTCACTTGAGCACAAAGGGCCAGTGTGCTGGGCCAGCATGGTTTGCACAGGGAGGACACTTGTGATGAAGTGGTACCATCACAGTGATGTCTTATCAGTGATGAGGCCAGGCTCTAAGTAGCTGCGGTAGATTCCATAGGATACTTGATATTTATTGCCTGTATGACCTGAGTGATTGAAGTATTGCTACTCTGATTAAAGTTATTTTTACAAAAATTTGTTTTTCTTCGAGTGAAAGATGAAGTTTTGCGTGAAAGTAACTAAAAATATAGTTGACTTGCCATTTAAAATATTTGCTCATATTAGAATTTGAATGGTTATAAATGTACTATTTTTCATATTTTAAAAATACATGAACTGGGATCCTATGCTAGAAGGAACATGTTATAAAAACCATTATTTGGTCACTTGACAAAACTGAATACAGGTAGTAGATAAAAATACTGTATTGTTTTTTACCGAAGTTAGCACTAATAAGAGAATATCCTTATTCTTAGGAAATGCACATTGAAGTATTTAAGGCTAAGGGTTATGATGTATTGTAATTTATTCTGAAATGGTTTGGACCCCCCATATGTATACACGTACATGTATGTATATAGCACATATAGCCTAATTTCTAATGCATTACTTATTTTGATCATTAATGAGCCCTCTGGTTACATAAGGCAGACACTATCATCCCACTTATGTATACATCATTTATTTTGTTATACAGATTTCTATTTAGCGCTAAAATTTATTAAAAATTTGACTAAGCAAATTAATATAAACAAGCTTGGTGTATAATCTAAGAAGAGCATTTACAAACACATTTGAGTATGCTATAGTTTTAAGAAATGTTCTGATTTTTAAAATATGTGTTTATACGTGGATAAACATAATGCGAACCATATATTAGATATATATTTAAAATTTAAGCCAGTGTGTTTAATGTATTTGTTTCTCCCGCATAAAACACAGGTAACCTTTTGGTTTAGGGATGTTTATCATTTGTTCAGTAGCATCTGAGTTATCGAATCCTTTGAAAATGAATTTTACTTTAAAATTAAATAGTCATCAGCCACACCAGATAATGTTGTCATTTACAGTGTGGTTAGCCAGTTGGCAGTATTCTCAGCAGGTTTCTGGACTATCCAGCGTGAATGCCTCTGAGCATTTGGTGTTTGTCCAGGCTGTTAAATTAAACAGCTGACACTAGGCCAGGATGAAGGACTGGCCTCCCTATAATCATCTCCTTTTTCAGTGTTTAAAATCTCACTTGAGTTTAGATTCCACTCCCTGTTCCCCCAGCTTTTTAACTATAAAAAAAAGTATAATATGCATCCAGATGAAGCACATGTGAGCTTGACTTCCGACTTTCTAAAGCCTAGGTTAGCTTTGTTGGGATCTTACAGTCTGCACTGTGTTGTTCACTATGTATTATTTGCTTATCATTAAGTTTGTGGGATTCATCATCTTGTAGTGAGAAGTTGTAGCTTTTCACTCTCGTTGTTGTATAATATTCCATCATGAAGTGATATGGATCTGTTTATCTGCTCTTCTGTCGTCAGGTCTAGTTTTTGGTTAGGTTCCCAGAGCTTTCATGCTCTAAAATTCTTGTACTTTATTCTCTCCGACCAATCAAAACAGAAAATGGAAAAAAAATATCTGATCTCTTTGTACTAGTATGCTTGACAGTTGATATTATTGTTTAGTGAAAAGATCCTAAGACGTGGCTTTATGTGCTGGCTTTGCAACATAGCTCGCTTGATAACAGGCAAGTCAGAACACCTCTGTGAGCCTCTGTGTCCTCATCTGGAAAATGGAATAACAGTGTCTCCCTTATCTGACATAGAGTGTTCTTTTGGGATTCAAAAAGTAGTGCATAAGAAAGTGGGCAGTGTGTACGTCAGCATATGGAAATGCACATAACAGGGCTGGCAGTGTCGATGTGAGTTGTTATCTCAGCAGGACGTTTGTACTTTCAGTTATTCATTTTTGATTGTGGAATGAAAAGTTTTAAGAATATATAGATATTATAACTATTTTAAATAGGTGTTTTTACATAATTAGCAGTTATAGCCATTTACAGTATTAACTTTGAAAATACACAGCCTGAAGACAAAATAACTATGGAAACAAAATTACTGTCTTTTTAATGTTTAGGCTCGACTGTTTGATGAACCTCAGCTCGCTAGTCTTTGTCTGGATACCATAGACAAGAGCACGATCGATGCGATAAGTGCAGAAGGGTTTACTGATATTGATATAGGTAAGTTCACTGTGAATTGAAATTTTACCTGCAAGTGCAGTCAGGCCTCACTAGTCAGCCTTGGTGGACGAGCTGTTCTTCAACTAGTGTTTTTTTCCAGATGATCTAAGTCTATCCCTTTAGGAGTTTTGCTTTCTTTATTTTGGTGAGATATTCCTAAAAGTCTTAACTACCTCCTTGCCTTTTAAAAGCTGTCAAATCAAATACTTATTGACTGCTTAGTATGCACAGCATTTTACTAGGATCCTATTTAAAAAAAATAGAAAGGGAAGATACAACTTTTCATACGGAAACTCTCATCTAGTTGGAGAACCGGGGAACAGGTATATGAAAGTTAAGATTTCAGACATTGCTAGAAGAGATGCCATATGACAAAATGTGATTTTTGCCTTTTCTGAACTAGATATATAGAAAATTTACTATGCAAATTCAAGACACAAAGAGGTTCCTCAGGTTGGAAGTGTTATGAAAACCTTGACAGGAGGTCTGATCTCGACTTTGGATAGGACGAGGGGAGGGCGCTGGGCACGTGGGGCAGGAAGGTGGGCCTGCGGAGGGAAGGGAGGGCGAGGCGGGCCGCGGCCAACGAGGAATAGGGAGTCTCTAGTTTTACGAGTCTAACCCTATTTTTACTGAGATTTGAAAACTTTATATAAGCAAGCTGGTCAGACTGTTTTGTTAAAGAGCAAGGTATTCCTGATTTGTTTTGTATTTTTCACCTGTAGACACACTCTGCGCAGTTCTAGAAAGAGACACACTTAGTATCAGAGAGAGTCGGCTTTTTGGGGCTGTCGTGCGATGGGCAGAAGCAGAATGTCAAAGACAACAATTGCCTGTGACCTTTGGAAACAAACAGAAAGTTCTAGGAAAAGCACTGTCCTTGATCCGGTTCCCGCTGATGACCATTGAGGAGTTTGCCGCCGGTAAGGCTATACCTTGACCAAAATCTATGTGAAACTGTTTTAGTGGGCGGCCAGCCAGTCTCCCTGTCCTCAGAAGCAGTGAATGGGAACCTGTAAGGCATAGGATAGGCTGCTTCCCTGGCTCTTCCCACTTCAGCTCTGCCCTCTGCTGATTTCTAAACCTCAGAGTGAAAGCACTATCCCATTGTTTGGATTATAACCTCAGACAGGTACTGGGTGGGGAACAGAGAAGTAAAAATAGCTCTGGCTGCCATCGTAAGCCTTTTCCCACCACAGGGAATGTGTCTTCTCAGAGTAGGTGAGTGGATGGAAAAATCCAGGCTTTCATCTAAGCTGTGATTTATTAATGATTTTAACATTCACATTTTATTAGGCTAACCTCAAATGGATTTAGAAAAACTGTACCATTAAATATAAGGCTAAGATTGTCCGTGCTGAGACCTGTCTGTCAGTGTTGCTCTCCACCTTCCAGATGTGAATTCACGTCGTGTGGAATTACAGCCGTAGGAATCGAACTCCAGGTGCTTTCATTGAGGTTTATGTTTTTATTTCTGCAGGGCCTGCTCAGTCTGGGATTTTGTCAGATCGTGAGGTGGTAAATCTCTTTCTTCATTTTACGGTCAATCCCAAACCCCGAGTTGACTACATAGACCGACCGAGATGCTGCCTCCGAGGAAAGGAATGCTGCATCAGTAGGTTCCAGCAAGTGGAGAGCCGCTGGGGGTACAGTGGGACCAGCGATCGAATCAGGTACCTGGGCTGCTGTTGTGGACTCGGCGGTGGGCGAGGCGGCTTTTGTCCTCACACTGTGGGAGGTAGTTAACCAACATTTTATTTTATACTTTGTTTAATACACTTCTCATTTAATATAAGAAAAAGTCAGCGAGGCATACTGGTCTCCTCACTGGATCATGAGGGACGGGTGAAGTAAGAAGGAGCTGGGCCGGGCCTTCTGTCACCCAAATTCTGATTGGATTCCCACTGCCGGTGCGCTGAGGTCAAGACCTTTGTAGACCAAACGCTGTTTTTACAGTCTTAGGGCTATAATTTATTTAATACATTTTAATCTTACGCTGTTTGGTGTGAGTGTTTTCTTTACACAGACTTTGCATGGAAAATAATACCTCAGTATACATTTATAGAAGCTTTGAAAGGGGAAAAAATTCTTAAAAGATGCATGTGTATAATCCTGTTAGGAATTATCTTTGTTGTGTTTCTTTAGGTTAAATGTCAAAGTAGAATACATACCAGTTTTCATAAAACATGCCTTTTGGACTTTCACTTATTTAATAGCACTTTTATATGAAACTAGAAACTTACAACAAGTTTGTCAGAAATGGGACTCTGAGGGGGAGGGGACCCTTACAGATACTGGATAAGGTGGAGGTGGAACAGCACTTGTGGACCATTTAGTGATCATTCCCGGCGAGAGTGCCATGTCTGAAAACTCACATGAGGACATGGACTGAGTGTCACAAAAAGAAACAGTCATAAGTAACTACTTTTACTAAATAAATTAGAGTAGAAATAATTTAAGCATTCACCCCAAGTAGCTAGAGAATGAATAGCAAAAAATAAGAGAGTGAGGAGAGAGATAAATGTAGAAATCAGTGAATTAAAAAAATAATAGACTTGATAAATCCATAAGCTGGTTCCTTAAAAAGAAAGAAACCTCTGGCAAAGGTAGTGAAGAAAACAAACATATTTAGAAATAATGGGAATATCATCACATGCTGAGAAGGTTTTTATTTTGACTCTGGGTTTACTCTGTTAATACGTTGAACATCTTGATGGAATGGATCATTTTATAGGCAAATGTAAGTTATCAAAGTTGACTGAAGAAGAAAGCCCGAGTAGACCCATTACCATGGAAGGAACTAAAAGTTATCAGAGAACTGCCCCTTCACAAGGTGGTTTTCACAGGTGAGTTTTCTCAAAACGTCAAGGAACAGATCGTTTCCTTGAGCATTAAAAGGAGAAAGTGCTTATTCGTGAATTATTGAAAGAACTATAATCCTTACACCAGAATCTGACAAGACAAAAAATTTGTAGATGAATCTCACTTATATAGGATGAGAAATTGCATGTAAAATATTAGCATATTGACTCTAGCAGTACCTTGGAAAAGTAATACTGATGAGCAAATAGAGCTTATTTGTAGATTGAAATAATGCTTGATATTAGAAATTTATTAATATAATTCACCATCGTAGCAAATCTAGGAAGGAAAATTTGATTATTTCAGTAGTTGTTAAAAAGACTTGGTAAAGTTTCACCTTCGTTCCCCGTATAATCATTAACAGACTAGGTCTCAAAGGACACTGCCGTAAGACTGTTGAAACCGCAAGACAGGGATGCCTGCTCACCTTGCTGTTCTTAGCAGTGTTCAATCTCGTAGTTACAAACAAGCGTTTCACCACATGAATTCTGACAGGACACTTGCACGTTGATGGGACTTTTTGGGAGACTGCTCTAAGCACTGCGTAAGTCTGGTGTCCCTGGCCCCCTGCCATAGTGCCCCCAAACCTTTGTAAAAACAAAGCCTCCTTGTGGCTCCTGAGAACAACTGACCCACCCGAACCACCTCAGCATCAATAAAAATGTATTAGAACCAATAAGAGCATGGTGACCACTTATGAAATATGCATGCAGCAACCAGTGATATTCTCTATGTCATCAGAATTCAGTTAGAGAGGTGGCGGTTGTGCTGGTTCACAACAGTGTGAATGGACTTAGCGCCCCTGAACCTACACTTAATGTAGTTAAGATGGTGCATTTTGTTATATGTTTTGCCACACAAAAAAAAGTTTAAATTTTGCATTACAATATTGAGTGAAAACAGATTCCACGTACCGTAGTAACAAATAACAATTGGTGGGGTTAAATCCTATAAGAAGCATACAGTATAGAACCTTTACGGAGAACTGTAGAACTTCGACTGGGATCAGTGTCTTTCCAGACGGGCCAGTGTTTTCAGAAGTCACATGTTTTTTGGGCGAAGGAGTGGCTTGGCAAATTTATTCTAATGGGTATCTGGAAGAGTAAATGGTTCTTTTTTAAGAAGAGCGTATGGATCAAACGTAAGTACCCTAGAGCTACACTACTTCAGTGCTGTATGGAAGATGCTACAGACCTCAGAAGCTCACCTAACATGGTGAGCATGTAGAAGGTGAGGGCCGGTCAGCCACCAGGAATATAAAGTTAGATCCTTACTGATGCCCTCTACCAAAATTGTATACATTAGAATTGTAACACTAAACAAACAAAGCCACAGAGGTGCTGGAACAGGGCAGTGTGTGTTTAGTATGAGGAGATAAGCCTCTAAACTTGGCATAGGTCATAATTTGACTATGAAGAATTTAACATTTTCATGCCCAAGTGCACCGTGAAGTCAAAAGGTAAATGACAGAGCGTTTTGTGACGGGTGTTGCTGACAAGGCGTAAGTAACTATATAACGTCGTCTTTCAGAGGAAAATGGGGAACACGAGTGAGTATTTCATTAAAGAGAAAACCCAGTAGACAGTAAGCATGAGGAAATTATTAACTCATTAATAATCAAAGGAACATAGACTTTGTTAATCATCAGTTTCTCAACGGCAAAAAGAAATGAACATACTCGTGGTTGTTCATGTGAGATGGAAATGATTGTCATTTCTTGTGTGTAGAGTGTTGTAATCAATTTGATGATGTTTAGCGAAAGCCTTAGGAATATGCCTTTCATTTCCCCAGGATTCCTGCTTCCAGGGATTTATTCTCAGGCAGCAGTTAGGGCTCTGCAGAATGACGTGGCTGTGAGGTGGTTCGTCATGGCCTTGTTAGGTGGTAACCAAACCTGCGGGTGACAGCCTGGCTTACCCAACAAGCAGGGGTTATTAGTATAGTGAGTTGGCACTAATCTTTTACCTTTTTACATGAAAAAGAAGATATAAAAATATATTCTGACATGGTTTTAAAAATAATGCCTGTATGTTCATAGAAAAAAAACCTGCTTTCCTATTAAAAACAGAGTGGAAAGGAAATGTACCAGCGGGTAAGTGGGGGCTCTGGATGGTGGAGCGAGAGATCCTTTACATTTTCCTCATTTGTTTAACTGCACTTTCTTTTCTTTCTTTTTTAAAGAGACTATGTTGTTTTTTTACAATAAAAAAAGGCATATAAATAATATGCTCAAGGCAGTCCTCATGGTGTCCTGGGATTTAACATAGTGGTGAGAACATGGGCCTTTGGCCCAAGGAGGCCTGGAATGTGGCCCAGCTTTGCCACACGTTCTGATCGAGGCAGTTGGCTTCTCCAGTGACAAAAACTGTACATAATAAAATAATACCGTTCCTTAGTTTATAAGCTGTGGTGATTGAAGGAAGTAATTCATGTGAAGGACTGAAGCCTGGCGCCGGCACAGGAAGTACTCTAAGGTGCTGGTTTTTAACTGTTAGGACCGCACTGGACCTGCTGGTGGCTCTATTGTGAAGTCTCAACCTGTTTACCTGTTAATTAATCCTGTCCCCAGCCCTCCGCCACCAATGTGTGCTGCAGCAGCCTGCTTCCTTCACAGCTCTTATCACCATTTACAATGATTCGTCCCTGTGTCCTCCGTCAGGCTGTACATGCCGTGGGGTGGACACTGCCTTGGTGACCATCGCTTCCCCAGGGCCAGGCTCTCAGTCTGCAGGCCCTCAGGCAGGATCGTCATGGGGAGGGAGGCCTGGGGCTGCGGGGCTGCTCCTGAAGGAGGTGTACAAACTTACTGGGACAGAAATCGTGGCACCCAGTGGGTATTTAGGTTAAACAAATTCCTTTGACTCAAAAATGTATAGTAAGAAAACAAGTTCTCCTTCAGTTCCCATTAAGCTAAAATTTATTCTCTCGAGTTTTTTGTTTTTTTTTGTAAACAGATGGTATTTCCAAGGATGTCTAATTCATGGTAGTTTTTCTTTTTATGAGCAAAAGTAGATGTTCCGGGTAACACTTAAAAAGCTTATAATATAAGCCTTTAGGACTGAGTGGTGGTGTCATTTTGTATTCGGTTCTCTCCCAGGTTCACGGTTAACAGAAGAGTCTCTGTAGTCGGGTTTGGCTTATACGGGTCTATCCATGGCCCCGCGGACTATCAAGTGAACATACAGGTACCTCTTCCCCACTATATCTCATCTTGAAATGCAGCAAACCTGTCATTTCACCCTCCAGATTCAGTATAATTATCAAAGGAACAGAAAGCCTCTTAGTAGCATTTTAAGCCTAGAGAGTTCTGGTTTACAATTGACGTAAAAAACCTGGTTTCAGAAAATTGGGGTCCTGAGTCCTTCACGGGGGCTTTAACACAGGAGCTCTCCTTGCTCCAGGAAGCCCTTCCCTTAGTCCTTCCTGCTGGGCACTGGCCGTCGTAAGCCCCCCTGCCTGCCTGGTGGTCCTTTGCACTCTGCGGCTTAAAGCTGTCCTGTTCCTGCTCTGGTCTCTGCCTGCCTGCCTGCCTCACGTCACTCAGATACGACCCTGCTACCTGATCCGCACGAAAGTGAAACACCCCTCCCTTTCCTTCCAGTCGGCCAGGTCCCCACATTGTTGATTGCACACCCCAGTGAATTGTTTTTGAAACACATCAACATGTCCTTTTATTTATAAACTATACATGTGCAGTGCTGTACTTACGTAGCACGCAAACTAAAATGCAAAAAACAGAAATGAGAGAAGTAAACAATGTTTCAAACTTTTTATCAGCAGAAAAAACTACCCTATCTAAAATCTTATTAATAAAGTATTTTTAATAGTAAACACCTTGGTGAACGTTGTGATTAGAACGCATCTTTAGTTTTCAGAACACACAACAATTCAAAGACTTGGTTCCATGACAGCTGAGTAACACACCTCAGAACCTCAAAGACACCTTGCTCCACATGAAGAACTGCATTATTACCTGTGCTGATGAAATCTTGCTCATTTTAAATCTTATCTGCTAAGGTTTATAGTGAAATACATTTGATAAGTTTACATCACTCATTATTTTTTCTTCTATGAAACTTTGTTTTAGTTGGTTTAACTTAAATGTAACTCTCTTTAAAATTACAGATCATTGAGTATGAAAAAAAACAAACCCTGGGACAAAATGATACCGGATTTAGTTGTGATGGGAGTGCCAGCACGTTCAGGGTGATGTTCAGAGAGCCCATAGAGATCCTGCCCAATGTGTGCTACACAGCGTGTGCAACCCTCAAAGTAAGTCATCCAGAACGTTCCAGACGGTGGACACGGGGCCCATGTTTTCCTCCTGCATGTCACAGAGCGAGTTTATTTTATTTTATTGATTTTTTAGAGAGAGAAACATGGGTTTGTCGTTTCACTTATTCATACATCATTGGTCACTTCTTGTATGTGCCCCGACTGGAGATCGAACCCACAGCCTTGGCCTATCGGGACGACGCTCTAACCAGCTGAGCTACCCGGCCAGGGCATACCTATTTTCTTGAAACCATTTCACTGCTCTCTAATAGCTGAGCTCTCTATTCAGTAATTTTACTCATTAATTACCTTTGTAGCAAAAGTATCATTTTCATTAAATGATTGACATAAAATTTTATACCGGAGCTATAAGGTAACATGTGAGTAGATCAGTAATCGAATTAAAACACCACTTTAAATTGAGTGCTTATTAAAGGAAACATGCTAATGAGCTCTGTCCTTGCCTAGGGCCCAGATTCCCACTATGGCACGAAAGGGCTGAAGAAGGTAGTGCACGAGACACCTGCTAGCAAGACCGCCTTTTTCTTCTTCAGTTCCCCTGGCAACAACAATGGCACTTCAATAGAAGACGGACAGATCCCAGAAATAATATTCTACACATAGCTTATCACATCCTACACCTTGGCTCAACCGTACCGTGCAGTGTAGTCGCGAAGGCATAAAAAACTGGCCACACACAAAAGTTTGAGTGTGATGAATATTTATAGTTTTAAGATAAACATCTTAGTTTCTTAGAGGAGATAGATAAATGTTTATTTAAATCTGTGTATAATTTCAACGCAGATTTTCCATTTTCTTATAACATTAGGGGAAAGAAAATTGGGTTTGTTTAGAAACACCACCACCTGTTTCAGCTTTATCTTGTATAATTTCATAGACTGACTCGTGGTCTTTCAACAGTTTTATAACTGAAAGAGTTTTGTTTTGTATAGCTGGTTCGTTTTGTTTGAACTGTTTTGAAGGTTAGGTGAGATGACATGGGTCAGTATTCCTATAGAATTCCTATTAACTCAAATAGCTAATTTCAGACAATTAGGAAAACTGACCTTATATTTGGAGTTTTGAAATATCTGGTTGTTAGCATTTGGAATATTGCTAGAAATAGGCCTAATAAATGCCTAAGAAAATTTTCAATGCTTTTACAGAAAAGGATATTTTGTAATAGTATATTAATGTGTTACATAGTACAGTTTTAAACTACAAATGGAGTTTGTACAGATTCACAATAATGTGATATAAAGAAGGATCTAAGGAATAGTCTAAGACTAGATTCTTTATCACTGAACCACACCACTGTACCTGTTTGTATGGGGGATGCTGCTGAGAGTGCCCAGGGTAGAGGTGAGGATGGTGAGGGGGGTGGTGACGTAGACACACACGTACGTTCGGCATTGGGGCGATGGCCTTACACAGCAAGACACAGAATAGGGCACCAACATTTCTAACAACTGCTTTGAAATTTAAAGAGATCCGAGAGAATCACTCCTGCTGCAGTGACACCGTGCTTGGCCGCCTACACAGCTGTATCCAAGAAGTAAACCATGCTCAATGTTCATGACCTCACAACGTCCCAGGTACAGCCGGATTAGGAAGGGGCAGGAAGGCTATGTGGCAGAATGATATTTGTACACTTTTTTACAAAGCAGAGTTTTTATATAAATAACATTCTTTTTTTCTTTTGAAAGCAGTTATAAAAAACTTACGTGTAATTACGTTCAAGGTATATCAAATAGTTGTGGAAGATGGTTAAAAATCACTTTTAAGTATCAACTAGAATTCATGTTTTCTAAATAATGAGGATATAAACTTTTTCACTTAAAGTAGCATTTCATTATATATTTTTAAGAAGGTAGAGGCAGCTTGTGGCAGAGGTCTCTTGGAATTGCTGAAGAAAAGGGAAGTTTTTCTACCCTGGTACCATGACCTCATGGACGTGAGCCTCGTTAGCGGGAATGCCTGGGATGTGAGGTTTGGTTACCCGGCCAGCACTGCCTGAGAAAGGAGGGTGTGCCAGAGAGGCCCCTCGGGCTCCCAGCGCTGGCCCCCAGCGGAGACTGGCCGAAGGTCGCTAGAGCAGGCACAGGAATGGCACTGTTTACTGATATGGGACATCCCTGGAATTTTTAATAAACATTACCCATTTATATTTTTCTGTCATTTGCCTTTTTCTTCTAAAAGTTCAGTGTAAGATGCTATTTTGGCACAAGGGCTCTAGGTAGCTGCGGTTTAACTTAATTGACCGAAGGAATGAACAGGGAATGACGCCTCTGCGGTAGGTCTGCCGGCACCCGTCTCCACCGGGCCTCCGGCCTCGGGGCTCCCCCTGCTGGGACCTGTCCTGTGGCGGGTGGAGACCGCCTGCTGCTTAGTGTCGCGGTGGCTGCGGGCGTGGTGACCGCCCCACGCTGCCCTCTCGCGCTCCGGCCACAGCACCGCGCTCCTCACACGCGCCCCGCGGGCGGAGGAGCCTGTTTGAAGGTCACTGGCGGGGGCACTACTTGGGGCAGGTCTGCCTCCCGCGCCAGAGTCGGGGAGGTGCTTTCTGGGTCCCGGGGCAATTCCGCGTTTT